CAGAACAATTTTACATTGCTTCCAAGCATCCAGTGAATGGTGCAGGGCCTATAATTGGACCATTCTTTCTTCATTTTGAAGGGATAAGGRTTATGATATTTGATATGCAGTTGATAAGGRCATTTAATGCATCTATTGTTCACTTTATACATTTGATATACTTTGTTTGTCTTTGTTGTTGTGGCTATTGGACCAAATAAAACACTTTTTTATCTGTTTATACTGTGAACCAATAATTTTTATCATTAAYTGCCTATCAAATATCCTAATAATTATCCCTTCAAAATGAAGAAACAATRGTCTTATTATAGGCTGCTGGGACAATGATAAATTGTTTTGGTAATGTTTGAAGGGGGACGGTCTGATACAGAAAGGGTTAGAAAATTTCACTTTCACAACTCTGGTATGTCTGTATTTTTCAAAAATTTGACTGCCTGACGTTTAGTTCTGGGACTAAACGTCAGGCAGTCGAAAAATCTCAAAGTGCCGCGTGTTGGTGTATACAAACTTGTCGAATAGTATTATTTCGGTCTTTATTACATTTCTCTTGTTGTATTAATTGAAATTAAAGTTGTTTCTTACGGAGACTGACCTGATCTATCTATCTATCTATTTTCATTTCAGACACAGTCAAAATTTCAAATCAAACATATATAGCAGTCTATGCCAGCTGTAAATACACCGCCATTAACAAGTACAGTGGCCGGTTTACGTCACCTAACTACCCTGAACATTATGGCAACCGAGACAGCTGCAATTGGCTACTGACTTCCAATGGAAGAATTTCTATATCATTTGAAAGTTTTAACACTGAATGGCGCACAGATTACGTTTTCGTTTACGATGGTGGTTCGAGCTCGTCCAGATTAATTGGTCAATACAGTGGTACCAAAATTCCACCAAAACTGACCAGCTCATTCAATCAGTTGTACGTTACATTTATTCCACGTTACTACTTCACAAGGACTGGGTTTTCGGCTAAATACGGACCTGCACTATACATACAGGGTAAGATAATTACCACGTGTATATTGRCGTTCATCAATTATCAATTATTTCAAACGAATTAGACTAGGCAAATTWAAGCAAATCTAGGAAGAGAACAATACTACAATTATAAATATTTAGYTTTGTAACCATTGCTTCTCAGGTCCAGGCTACTACATGTACCTGAAAACTGACTCGAATACAAGATTTGGCGACACAGCCCGCTTTGTCAGCAAGCCTCTTCCTGCTACAAACTTGACATGTCTTTCATTTTGGTACCATATGTATGGTARTGACATCAATGCCTTGAATGTTATTTTGAAATCARGTCTTAGAAATATCACCGTCTGGTCCAGGAAGGGAGAGAGTGGTAATAGATGGTTAGAAGGAAATGTCGCCATCAGTACAAATGACACTTTTCAGGTGAAACAAGGCATTCTCTTTCTTCTTTGTTTATCTGAGATCCCGGGGGCCCGGGTCTGAGATCGATTTACCAAAACTTGATAGAATCATCCGAGTTGTTGGATAATCAAGAGGACGTCAAAGCAGTTACAATGTTGATGTCWAGAAAGGAAACGACATAAAAAGCGTCGTCAAACGTTGGTCCTTTGTTTTCAGCTCACGCTAATCAACTAATCTCTAGTTCTATTGTTTTATTGCAGTGATTAATTGTAACCATATATGGTTCAAATTCTAGATCGCATTTGAAGGTGTCGCTGGTAGTGGAATTAAAGGTCASATCGCATTTGACGATATATCATTGGATAAAGGAGCCTGCAATATTTCTGGTAGGTTGTATCTCAGACAATTTTGCTCCGTTGTTATTTTTTTCCTAGGGCTACGCAAAATGCTCTGGCTAACGACCATGAAGGTAAAGGGCAAATTATATTGAAGTCTATTTTATTTTTTTGGGTTGTTTGTCTTTATATTCTTTGTTTGTTTTTTCTTTCTCTTTTAATGTTAGTTATCTAGACTATCTAGCTTATTTGAAATTATGTTAAAAGGTTCCTGTCAAGATSAGWTCTGCTACAACGACGGGAATCCATACTGTTTGAASAACACAGGCTACTGTTACTGCTCACGTGATACCTACGGAGAMAAGTGTCAATTTGGTAACGCTTTTTTTAAGAGTGTATAACTAAATAAATGTTTAGTCTCCTTAAAATGTCGTTCACTGGGAGCTTTATAGTACAAGTGATTAGAAGCAAAGCAAAGCAAAGCAAAGCAAAGCAAAGCAAAGCAAAGCAAAGCAAAGCAAAGCAAATCAAAGCAAAGCAAAGCAAAGCAAAGCAAAGCAAAGCAAAGCAAAGCAAAGCAAAGCAAAGCAAAGCAAAGCAAAGCAAAGCAAAGCAAAAGCAATGTACTTAGTTTATGCATTTTTTTCTTTTCAGTTCTAGAAAACTACACCTGTACTTTTGATAAAGGTATCTGTCGTCATCTCTGGAATCAAAATGCCAAAATGAATCAACTGGACTGGAAGCGACAACGTGGGCCATCATGGCCGCACACAACTGGTCCATCACGAGATCACACAAGTGGTATGACTCTCAATGCAGCCATTATTGTTGTCCCTCATTATTGGTGTGATTTTAAGTGTTTTTCGCCTGTTCCTTATATCATATGTTTGTTTCATATGTGTATGCATTGTTCTTGTGCTTACTGAGCATTGATGAGAATTTCATGTCCACTTAGCTAGACCATATATTTTATGTAACAGTATACGGAGCGAGCTGGGGAATTAACATAAACACAGGTAAAAGATCGAAARAGCGCGTTTGAAATTATGACGACATTTTTAGTGACGGTGGGTGCGCAAGGCGAGGTTTTTCTAGGCCGGTTAGAATCTGTAATCTGATTCTTCTGATTCGTTTTACAAAGGTTTTCTAAAAGCACGAGCGGTGACAAATAGGGGTCATATGATAAAACATTGTGTTTTCCTTCTGGACAAACAGGGAGAGGATATTACATGACAATTCACAGCCGAAATCAAAGAATAGGGGATACCGCTCGTTTAATTAGCAGACAACTTCCTGCCAGTAACCATACCTGTCTGGAATTTTGGTATCATATGTATGGTGTTGATATCGGCGCATTGAGAATCTTAAAGAAAACTGGTGCTCAAAGCGTCACAGTCTGGTCGAGAAACGGTCAAAGTGGAAACAGATGGCTTGAAGGAAAAGTGGATCTTAAAAGTCAACATGAATTTCAGGTATGTATTCATCGTACTGAATCCTGAATCCTGTCAATAGGCAATGTGCAGCGACGCCATTTTGTGCAGCAGCAAAGGATGATGGTAGTTGTAGTCCTTGTACGATCGTTTATCNCGTTTAATTTGCAAGCTTGTCTTTTTAAGCATGCGTTTAGCGATCCCACTTAGCTAGACCATATATTTTGTAATAAGTGGGAAGGCCATATACGGCAACAGTATACGGAGCGAGCTGGGGAATTAACATAAACACAGGTAAAAGATCGAAAGAGCGCGTTTGAAATTATGACGACATTTTTATTGACGGTGGGTGCGCAAGGCGAGGTTTTTCTAGGCCGGTTAGAATCTGTAATCTGATTCTTCTGATTCGTTTTCCAAGGGTTTTCTAAAAGCACGAGCGGTGACAAATAGGGGTCATATGATAAAACGTTGTGTTTTCTTCTGAAACAGGGAGAGGATATTACATGACAATTCACAGCCGAAATCAAAGAATAGGGGATACCGCTCGTTTAATTAGCAGACAACTTCCTGCCAGTAACCATACCTGTCTGGAATTTTGGTATCATATGTATGGTGTTGATATCGGCGCATTGAGAATCTTAAAGAAAACTGGTAATGAAAACGTCACAGTCTGGTCGAGAAACGGTCAAAGTGGAAACAGATGGCTTGAAGGAAAAGTGGATCTTAAAAGTCAACATGAATTTCAGGTATGTATYCATCGTACTGAATCCTGAATCCTGTCAATAGGCAATCGGCAGCGACGCCATTTTGTGCAGCAAAGGATGATGGTAGTTGTAGTCCTTGTACGATCGTTTATCGTTTTCCATTTTCGACCATTCCCATAAAGACTGGCGACCATGTTGGAGGAATGAACAATAGATACTAATGAGAAATCCTTTGTTGAAGCAATTGAAGTTCCTTCAAGATGACCGCTGTGACGTATAGTAAAAACGAAGAAGGCTTATGGAGCATGATTACATAAATGTTTGAAGGTCAAAGATTCAAGTTCGATATTCTGATGACCTTTAGAGTCAGGCCAAATCCAAGCCATCAGTTTTGATGGAATCCTGTATCACTAACGAGTCGCTATGCATGCTCACTAACTAGTGACTTCATGAATTGTCAATTTGCACTGAAATCTTCATTTTCGGTTAGTTGATTATAGAGGCTATTGTCGGCGGTTACGATGGCAATATTGCTATCGATGACGTAAAAATAATGAATGGAACTTGTGTTATATCAGGTACGTATTCTCTATGTTCATTTTTCTTGATTGAGAATGAGATACATTTTTTCCCCTTAAACAGAATCATGTAGAAAGCAGTTATGTCATAACAGAGGCCATGCGTATTGCTTGAACAATATYGGCTACTGCTACTGCCCTTATGATGCCAGAGGAAAACATTGTGAGACCTACATTTGCTCATTTGAACAAGGTGTCTGCGGGAATAAATGGTACTCCGATAGAACTGCTGACTTTTTCTGGTCTAGAAGATCCTCAAAAGGCTAGTATAATGGGCTCCAAAAACCCTGTTTAATTTATGTTGGTAAATGTTTTTTTACGCGATTYGATCACGTGTGAACTGCGCATGCACATACCGTTACTTCGCAGACAAGGTTCATGTGAATAGGCCATTTGCATGATGACATAACTTTACTACAACTTTACTACAACTATTCAGATTTTTAATCCCCTTGGAGATTAATAAAACAATTGGCACTAATTGCATTACAAAAGAAAGTTGGCAAAGCATTCTGGTAGTTGTAGTAAATGATCGACGCCATAATGCAAATCGGCTATTCATGTGAAAAACGGAGCAACATGCTGTAAAATAAGGTAGCTGCGATCTGAATTTCTGCGCCTTTAGAAATTTGTAGACTTTTCACACGGGTTTGCTATGTGCTGCTATGTGTGCAACAAAATTGTTAGTGTCAGATCACTGTGCATGGTCAGGCCCTGAGACAAGACCAGCACCGTCTCTCGCATTCTTTTTGTCACAGGATGCATGATGCTAAGTTTTGACATATATTGCAGAGCATGCTACTGAGATATTTTGATTGAAACCCCCGGGGGTGGGGACTGTCCCTAATATAAAAAAGGGCGCGGGTCCTCGCCGTCCCTTTTAGGGTTTGAAATCAGTGTTTTGATCCCGCTTAGGGTGATAATGACGGGAATTCCCACCAACTGAGTTTTGTGGTCCCTTTTAGGGTTTACGACGACCCTAAGCCGTCATCATATATTTGTATATGACAACGTCGTCATAAACTCAATACGAGCCAACGGCGATTTTTGATGCTTGTGCAAAAACACACTATAAAAATCGGGAAACCAAAACAAACCGTTTATTGATTGATCCCTCTTAGGGGTAAACTTTCAGCGCTGCCACGCCCATCATCTCACAATACAGGTCCCTTTTAGGCCGGGTCATTTTCAGAATTGCCGACGAGGACCCCCGCTATTTTTTATAAGGGAGCCCCCCCGGGATTGAAGCCTGAGTGAAGAGCTTGTGAGCTAGTGAAGAGATCAAGTTTAAAGGTCGTGATTATCGTAATTTTTAAGACGTTTAAAGATTTTATCGTACCAGATGTACATCTGATTGTATTTAATTGTCACTGGGCTATATATTTCAGTTAAAAAGTCAAAAAACTATACATAAAAATTTAACGAGAACGCACTCTAAGCTAAAATGTAGTACAGGCAATACCTTTGAATGTCAACTGCTAAACGCTTTCAGTTTATGTACTGGTACTGCGCATGTAGTATAAGAGCGTAATGACCAGTTATAATTTCATTTACTCTGCGCAGTCATTGTGGGAACGGTTGTTGTTTGGGGTATTTTGCAGCTTTACAGACGCTCTGGCCAATGATACGCTTTGGCCAACAATACTCTATTTTTGGTTATTCGTTCTTAATTCGAAAATGAAGTATATTGATTTAAAMCAATATTTAAAAATTGAAGATGTTTGAGATTATTCTCAGAAACTGACTCTAAACAATGACACGACGACATAGTTAACATTAGCATATATATATATATATTTTTTTTTGCAGTTGGCTACTGCTTATTATTTAATAAGGATTCAATAAGAAAGCTTGGCGATACAGCCCGCTTTGTCAGCAGGCCTCTTCCTGCTACRAACAGTACATGTCTTTCATTTTGGTACCAAATGTATGGCCGTGACATCGGCACCCTTAGAGTCATTCTGAAAACGAATGAGAATGATACCACTATTTGGTCCAGAACTGGTGACTATGGTGACAGATGGTTCGAATGTAAAACGACGATCGTCAGCAATAAGCGTTATCAGGTAAAGTGAATGGCGGACATCTAACTTTTATGAAAACCATTAGCCTGAACTATGAACATGCTCTCTACACAAGAAATGCAATAGTAGTGTTTCGCGACCTCTTTTACGCTGTGTTAGCCTCAATTGTACAAAATGTTCAGAAATTTAGATACTGAAAACTCGTGAAATTTCAAACTAGTTCCATTTCCTTCTCACGGATCTCTTGCATTTTCACGGGCTGTTAGTAATTAAAGAATACATTACATGATGCAGGTTTTGAGGCTAAGGCCCCGCGCTATACGCCGAACTTCACATGTGCCGAAGAGGGGATTGGAAATTAAAGTCGTCACTTAAAATTCGGCGTCTAATTCGCTGTATTTTATTTATCACTTACGTCGACTAAAATAGAAGTTGTATTCGGCACATGTGAAGTTCGGCGTATAGCGCGGGCCTAACACAGCGTAAAAGAGATGGCTAAAAGGGTCTATTACATTAAATTACTGCATTTGTTTGCTTTATCATATCTCATGAAGCTAATTATAGCCTTAAATCATACGTATGTATATGATTTTTTTTCCGTGTCAAACAAAGAAATAAAATAAAAGTTTTAAACGATGCGATTTGCAACCAGATCAGTGCTACCATGGCAACGATCGATCATTTTTGGTTGAAATCATTAACTTCAGAATATTACCATATGACTTCGCAGACAAATCCATTATGAAAACCACTGATACCGTGCCGTCACAGACACTAAAAACTGGTGAGGTTTTTGGTGGGAACCCTCGTAATATCCTAATAATGTTGTTTATTTTATAGCCAATAACCGAACTCTATATTTTGAGAAGTTATCTAAACAGATTCGAATAATGATAGCTAACACACAGGCTAGTTAGATTMCGGAAATAAGTGGTGTTAATTCAGCAGAAAAGCAAAAGCAAAAAGCAAATATCAGAAAAACAACATGGCTATTGGCTCTATTTTATACGGCTTTTTCCCAAACCCTCCCCCCCAAAAAAAAAAGTTTACAGTAGTACAACAAATTGGTAAGCATGGATTCTTTCAATTTCTTAGATTATATTTGAAGTGATTGTTGGTCGAGGTTCACATGGACAAATTGCTATCGATAATATATCAATGAACAACAAGAAATGCAATATTTCAGGTATGAAAAAGTCATATCAATCAGTCCGCTGCAGCTAACTAATTATTAGCCTTCAGTATACGGTTTGGTTTTAAGGGCAATCATGTGATAAGCTCGTCGACCTTGAGCGTCACAATGGGACTAGAGCAGAATGTCTATCACAGAGGCCCTTATGAGCATTGTGTGAAATGTCCATGTAATCAGAATACAGGCAAACACAAAAACCAGCAGTTCAATACAATATCATCTTTTCGTAGTTTTATCGTGACAAATTCTCGAAAAAGCTTCTAGAGTTAACTGTGATTCGAAAAAAAACAATCAATCCTTCCCTCTCCCATTCTCCCTTTCACTTCCCCCTCTCTCCCCACCATAACGAGATGTTCATTTTGTGCATGAGTAGTCGCCTAAAGTTGGCTATTGATCAAGTTTCCAAATTTGCACGAGATATAAAAATCCTTTTGTGTTTAGTTTTCATTTCAGCTAAACTAAAAAGAAAAAAAAAGAAAAAAAAAAACACACAAAAAAACAGAGATTCTATAGAAGTATTTGTATAAGTACTACTATCATTGTTATAATAAAATGCTTTTGGTAGTTAATTCTGTGCACAAGTTAATTAGTAACTTATAAAMTTTCAAAATTAAATCCATAGAATCTTGTCGAAATCAATTATTGGCGAAATGTTTTAACGGTGGTAATCCATACTGTTTCAACAACATTGGCTATTGTTTCTGYCCTGATGATTCTATTGGTCAGCAATGTGAAAGGTACAGATGTAACTTTAATAAAGACTTGTGTGGTTCTTTCTGGAGTCAAGACAAGACCGATACATTTRACTGGACAAGACATAAAGGCCCAACACGTATTCCTGCTACTGGTCCATCAAAAGACCATATTAGTAAAGGTACACTTAAAAAAGAAAAAGAGAAGATCGATGCATACGGTGGCAAACAAATTCGAGTACCCTATTTTCCATATATATACAAAGAACACATCCCACTCAAAAATCGCATAATCCCACGCCATGAATTCTGTTCAAGTTTTCAATTTCTAGTTCCTATTGTTCTTGTTGCAATTGTCAGACCCAGTGCATTCAACCCCATTTTATCAGCAAAAATAGAGGTCATCCTCGTGCCTCATTTCACCTCTGCAGGTTCGTCCTTAGTCATCCTAAACTATCCGACACAGCTTCCGTCTTGCTTAATCTTATCATGGCAATCATTTTCTGTATTTTTTTTGAATAATATCAATTCATGAATATATTAATGATGAACAAATGCAAAATAGTCGAAAACATAATAATAGAACCGAAATCGTACCGRGCTGAAAACGCASTATGACGACAATCGTGATACAAAGTAGTCTTTGACGAGAAATGTTTTTCTTTTACAACTGCATAGTCCAGGCATTTTGTGGTTGAACCTAGAAACTAATTCGCTAATAAAGCTTTTTCTTCATGATAATGTTTAAGAGTGCGCATATAGCATAGGTTATCCAACGACACAAGCGCGCGCAATCATGTAAAGCAAGAAATTTAAAATGCGATTGTATTATTCTCGTTCATTGTTCTTTCAAAAGCTCATACATAATTAATGAGTTATTGGGCCAATAGAATGAACCTATTTGGTCCCATGCATGGGCCTTTATATCTGATAAAACACTCCTTATAAGTGTGACCTTTATCAGATATAAAGGTCCATGACCCTAGCAAAGGTCTCAGGTTTGATACCTGATCATTGACCAATGCAGGATGTATTACAGTAAAACAGCGCTTCCATTTTATTTTATGCTGATTCAATGTGGGATGAGTTCTTTGTTAACTGATTTGCGCATGTTCCGCGTTTGCCCCATTTATCTCAAAACTTATTTTTGCGGCAATTTTTTCAAGAATTTTAACGCATTTGAGTTTAAAATTAGTGTTTGAGTTTTTGAAGCCGTTTAAAACACTCGAGAGAGTGTTTTCCTGATAAAACACTCTCTCTCGCGTTTTGAACTATACATATTATTTGTATTTTATAGTTGCCATTATTTACTTTGATCTATTTTTGTTTCAGTCACTCCARAAACATACATTAAAGTCCAAACCAACTGTGGATATACTTCCTTTAACAARCATAGTGGGCGCTTTACTTCGCCTAACTTCCCTRRRAAGTATAGTARTGGACTGAATTGCTTTTGGTTACTAACGTCCAATGAAATGATTACTATTTCATTCCAAACTTTTAAAACTGAAAGTTGCTGTGACAAGGTTTTCGTTTACGATGGCGGATCAAGCTCGTCCAAATTACTTGGCAAATTCAGTGGTAACAACATTCCGCCAAAATTAACCAGCTCAAATTACCAGATGTATGTCARATTTACTACCTCGTYCTATGACCCTTACCTCTACCAGATSTATGTCAGATTTACTTCAGATAAATCGATAGCGTTTCATGGATTTTCCGCTAATTATGTGTCAGCAACCCAAGGTAATATTATATAGCAATAAATCCAATTACTAACTACAAAGACGTTTACATGAGCGCAGTAGATCTCTACTGATTCGATAGAAATCAAGCTTCGATAAGACGATACATTGATTTTTCTAGAAAACATTTGTCTTATTTGTTCAACAAGTGTACCTATCTATGATTGCACATCTTTCCGATGTAAAATTGGGTGTTTGGTAAGGCCTACTCCGGGCCAGAAAGTTGCCTTAAGTCACCTTAAGTCGCAAAGGGACCCCACCTAATTAATTATCATCCAATTTTCCTTAAGTTGCCTTAAGTTGCTGCGACTTAAGACGACTTTCTGGCCAGGCGTATGACTCTTGGTACGAAAATGTTTTCAGTTATTGTAGGGGGATGGGTCATTACCAATATTTTCACTCATTTCTCAATCTTCCGACTAACCCTTATAGAAGCAATCCTGAAATCGTATATATGAGGGCATCATTGCGTCAGTATTTAATTAGTTTTCACAGGACACAACTATTGTGCGACAATGTATTTCATGTGCGCAAACTTTGTGTGARCATTTCATGGTCATAGCGCCATTAGTTATATACTGAACACTAACATATCTCATATCGGCGGGCATCATGGGTAACGTTATTTTGATGTGATTTTCATTGTTTTCTATAACAGATCGTAAATCATTTGGATCAAT